AAATGTTTAAATTTTTTAGAAACCTATTACAGTAAAAAGCATATTGCTGTTAGTCCTCGCAAAATACTTCCCCTCACTTCAAACCTACCTATCCCATCCTTGCCGCTTTCTGAAGCAGTTCTGGAAGTCCTCTTTCATGAGTGTCTTTACAAGGTGTGTCAAAATGCGGTGAATGCTGCTGCCACGTCCTATCCAATAGAAAGGCAGGCTGGTAAAAACACGACCGTGCGTCCTCACCCACCTCATTCACAGGATCTGTGACTTCTGGCTTTTCCCCAAAGCCAAACTAATCTTAAAGGGAAATGTTTTGAATCAGTTCCATCAAGGCAATTACAAGAGTACAACTAAAGCCATGAAAGAGGACTTCCCGAGCTGCTTGGAAAAGTGGCAAGAATGATGCGGTAAGTATGTTCAATGCCAGGGGAAGTGTTTTCAGAGATTAATGGCATTGTGTCTTTTACTGTAATACGTTTTTAAAAGTTTAAACACATGTCCCATATATGCTTCATATATCCCATCTTAATTCTTTATCCCCTTCCCTGTCTTCCTACCACTTCTTTTCTCCAGTTTCCCTGTTTCTTCTCTCTCTTCTTTCTTTCACTCTTTAATTTATTTATGTATTTTATGTTTCTCATATAGGAGAAACCATGCAATATTTAACTTTGTGTGTCTGGCTTATTCCACTGGGTTGTCTCAAGATCCCCCCATTCTTCTGCAAATGACATGATTTCATTCTTTTTATGGCTGATTCAGCTGCAATGTTTCATTGTATATACAGCACTTAAAAATCTTGGTTGTTCTTGCTTTTCTAGGATCTTGAGATGCGTCACTTGGTTATTTATTTGGGATCACTCTGGTTTTCCAATGTAGAAACTTACAGCTACAAACTTCTGCCTTAGAACGGCTTTCATTGTGTGCCACAAAGTCTGGTATGATGTTTGTATTTCTATCGTCATCTTATTCTAGGAATTTTTAAGTTTATTCTCTGATTTCTTCTGTGACTCACTGGTTATTCACAAGTACATTATTCAATCTCCTAGCACTTGTGTGGTTTCTACAGTTTCTTTTGCTGTTGATTTCTAGTTTCCTTCCATTGTGATCTGATAGGAGGCAAAAGATTATTTCAGTCCTACTGTATTTATAGAGACTTGTTTTATGGCTTAAAATGTGATTTCTTTTGGAGAAAATTTTGTGTTACTGAGAAAAATATGCGTTCTGTTGTTAGATAAAATACTATAAATATCTGTTAAGTCCATTCATCCTATGATGTAGTTTAACTCTGATTATTTCTTTATTGATTGTCTGGTTCCCCTGTTTGTGACAATGGTGTATTAAAAAGTCCCCCACTGTGATGTATTAGTGTCTATCTATCCTTTTATGTCAAATAGTTTTTGTTATAAATTTGGGTGTGCAGTCATTCAGTGCATGTACATTTACAATTATTATATCTCCTTGCTGAACTGTTCTAGTTACCAATATGTAATGACTATCTTGACCTTTATCTCTTCCGACTGGATTGAGGTCAACTTTGCTGGAAATTAGAATAGCTACACTTGCTTGCATTTATGCTCCAACTTCTTGGGGTATCATTTTCTAACCTTTCAACTTCCATCTGTATTTTTGGTGAATGAGGTACATTCTTGCAGGCAATAGATATTGGGTTTTTTTTTTTAACAATCTGCTAGTTTATACTTTTGATAGAAGAGTTGAGACCACTTGCACTGAGTGTTCTTATTACAAATTATGTATTGATTCCTGCCATTATATTTTTCTAGTACTTGATTCCTTTTTTATTTTCCTTTTTGATTAACTACTATCCCAGTGAGACTAATTCTTTCAGGCCCTTGGTGCTATCAACCTGGTTTCTGTTAGGATTCCCTTGAATATTTTCTGCAATGCTCCTTCTGTGGTCATGAATTACTTTAGCTTCTCTTTATCATGGAATATTATTTTTCTATGAATTTTGAAGGATAACTTTGCAGGATATAGTTTTCTGTGATGGCAACTATTTTCTTCCAGAGAAAAACTTCACTCCAAGCTTTCCTGCCCTTTAAATATTGTGTTAAGAAATTTCTGTTATTCCAATGGGTTTGCTTCTATTTAACTTGGCATTCTTCGCTAACAGCTTTTAGTGTTCTCTCTTCGTTCTGAATTTCTAGAATTTTGCCCATGATGTGTCAAGAAGGGATTCTTTTTCTCGTCATGCCTATTTGGGGTTCTAAATGCCTCAGTTACCTGGATATCCATCTCTTTCTCTAGATTTGGAAGATCTTCTATCATAACTGCCATGAATAATTTTCTTTTATCATCAGTCTCTGCCTTTACCCTTCCTTCAAAAGCAATGATTCTTACATTTGTTCTTTTAAAGTCATCTAGGAGCTCTTGCACTTTTTACCGTCTCCTGCTGCTTTTTCAGTGTTACTGAGTAAATGTTACTTCGTCAAGATTACCCTCAAGTTCTGATATTCTTATGACTGATTTCCCCTATTGCCAAAGCACTCTAGATTTTCACAGGATTTCTGATGAATTCCTTCTCGTAACCTCTAATTCTTTACCGAAGTGCTCTTTTATGTCTGCATTGTCTTCCTTAATTCATTCAGTTGCTTATTAGTACCTTCTTTAAGACCTTGATGACCTTAGAGAGCTGTGCTTTCAGCTGCTACTTACATCTTCTTTCAGTTCATTGATCATCTTAGCAATTAGGTCCTTCCGCTGTGTATCTATTCCTTCTTTGACCTCCTCAGTCATTTTAACTATTTGTTTCTCAAGTTCTTTGTCTGGCAACTCATCCACGTCAGTGTCTGTGAGATCTGCTTTGGGTGGGGGTTATAAATTTTTGGAGGCATCTTGTTGCATTGTTTTCTCATGATTGCTGTGATTTTATGTTGAACATTACAGATCATTTCTTCCGTATTCTCTAGTTAATTAGCATATAAATTTTCAAAATAATTTCTCATAATCCTCTCTGGTGTGGCTCTCCCCTCCTGCTCCAGAGACTGACTGCCCTGGATTTCCTGCATGGGTTCATTAGCTCTTCAGATAACTTCCTGCCCCGATGTCTCCTCCACCTTCTCTCTTATCTGAGTTCACGATCTTCAGACCCATCTGTTTTCCCCTCACTGGTCTTGAAACCTGGGAGTTGACAATTCCCACCACCATTTCTCCCAAGAACTGTCATTTAAAGTCATATGTGGGTATATGGTTTGACAGCTACATATGTTCTATTGGTTCCTGCAGCCTTCCCAGGTAATTGCTTTTTGGGGAGGGGTACTGGGAATGGAATGTGAACCTTGCAGGATTAAGCATGGGCTGCACCACTGTGTTACACCCACAGCCACACAGCACTCACAAATGTCCCACCTGTAAACCGCATTATCAGATTAGCTTTCCACTTTTCTAACTCTGCACACTACGATCGGACTCCAACTGAGTTTCTGAGGGAGCAAATCATATTTATCAAGGCAGATGATGGGGTGGACTGTGCAAGGTGTGGGCTGGGCCCTCAAGTTCTGATATTCTTATGACTGATCTATAACCATCCTTAAGATGGTTAAGGAACTGAGGTTGCTTTTATATGATGCCCACCGTTAGGCAAGGGACATGGTCAGGGGCTCTGACTCAGTGTTTGGCCTTCCCTTCTCTGTCTTGCAGGACAATGTCATCCTCTATCTCGAGGGTCCTCCTCTTATTGGCTGGCTTCTGCTCCCTTGTTCCTGGCTCCCAGCCTGCAGATCTTAAATACAAGGATGGAGCTTTGCATGACCATGAGCATCATGAATATGTAATCTGCCATAACGTCTTCTACAATGTTTTTGACTTGGCCTTTGCCTTTTACCGGGAGCCAGCTAGTCGGTCAAAAACCGCCAATACCTTATTGTCTCCAATCAGTATTGTGACTGCTTTTGCCATGCTCTCTCTGGGGACCGAAGGGGATACTCTCATACAGATCCTAGGGGGCCTGAATTTCAACCTGAGAGCGGTTTCTGAGGCTCACATTCACCAGTGCTTCCAGCTTCTCCTCCACATCTTCCAGCATCCAGACCACCAGCTCCAGATCACCATGGGCAGCAACCTCTTTGTCAGTGACAGTCTGGTGCTTGTGGATCAGTTTGTGCAGGATGCCAAGGAGCTGTACCATTCAAGAGTCATCTCCATCAGCTTCAAGGACACAAAACGTGCCAAGGAGCAGATCAACAATCATGTGGAGAGGGAAACCCATGGAGAAATAGTGGGTTTGATAAAAAATCTGGAGGAAGACACAACTCTCGCCCTGGTGAATTACATTTCTTTCCATGGTAAGTAAGGATCCGCAGCCTTAGGTGGCTTCTGTGAAATAATCTAATGCATGCTCAAATGCCCACTGCTTAAACTTCCTTTGACAGCTCAATGTGGAACAGGGCAAGGCATCCCAACTTGGGCTCTGTAATGTTCAACTCAGAAACAGTTTCCAAGAGCCAAGAAGACTGGGGCATGATGAATCAGCACCAGTCACATCTGTATCATCTATGTAGGACTTGTGAGCACCTTTATTGTCCTAATGCTCAATGGAAATACTGGAAAGAGAGGAGCATAGGAAATGGAATGTTTCCATAACATTCTAGAGAATGTTAAATGGTTCTAGAGAACCAGAGGTACAAATTGGAAGAGATGATGGAAAGAATAGTGTTTCATGGAACATAATTTAGACTACTCTAGAGTCATGGAAGAATGTCAGCTTTGGAGTGTGTCTCAGTTACTTTTCTCATTGCTGAAACAACATTCCTGACACCCCAAGTTAAAGGAGGAAAGGTTTATTGTAGCTCACAGCTCCTAGAGGTTTCAGTCCTTAGTTGGCTGGCTGCAAGGCAGGAGGCATTGCAG